TTTTATCATAATATGGGCTATATGTACATCTTAAGATAATTCAAACACATAAATTATTACTACACTTATTACCACCCTAGTGCTCTTAGAACCATTCAGGATAATAAAGATATGAAGCAATGCAATAAATAGAAATCACAACCGAGGTCAAATCATTGGAAATTCAAATTGATACAAACATTCTAAGCTACAATACCCAACAATAACTAATAGAAATCGAAAGGACTTTTCCATTTGACGACCAGTAAAACTGGCATTTACAAAATAGTCACATAAAATCATTGGTTGTACTGAAAATACATTAATTGGTTTATATAAGTTTAATAGGAGTATGTTATAAGTACCTGTGGATTATTTGGTTCCATTCGGTTTTGATACATTGCCAGTGACATTTTAGCATAATTTAGAAATGCATTACACCATGTGGATTGATTAATTGGACCGAAGGTATGAGTGATCTGGAAAAGGACGTGTATAAGGGTCTCCTACTAATCAGCAATGTTTAAATATTAGTGTACTTACCAAACTAAAGTGGTTCATCCCAACTTCCAGCTCATTATGAATAGGTACGTTATTATGAATTCGAGTAGCCAAAGGAGTTTGAAGCTCATTGAACATTCCGTTCAATTCGTCAAGAATCCTTCTGGAATAGAAATTCTTGTAAAGCAGCTATTTTACTTTTACATATTTTATATAACATATATTTTACTACTAAAGGGCAACTTCCCTTAAATCAAAAATTTGGAAGATAGCCAAAGCGTCCAGCAATGAAGCTAAACTAATACTCCAAGGAATAGAAAGAAACGAAAATTCAGTTTGTTAAAGCCATCAAAGGGATGATGAGTATCGTGCCAGCCATCTCTACCATTTTCTTTAGCCCAAAACTCGTCTTATTATTTTCTTACTATTAAAATACATTACTTTCTCTTTATTCTGTCCAGAAGGGATCGATTCAGACTAATCATGAAAATTATAATTACAAAAATGCTATAAATTCCTAGATTATTAGAATATTTATACAGACTATTTTCAAGATAAAAATTTAAATTAGATATATCTTCAAAAAAATTAACTATTTTTTCTCGTGAGATTGAAAAGTTAGGTAAGAAAAATTACCTAACAAAACAAAAACCTTTCTCGAAATTTTAAGCAGCTCAAACCACATAGATAGTTCACTGTTCATAAGGAAATTGAGTCCAACTTGGAAAGACCGCTTCGCGAAAAGAAGATTTTGACTTGATATTTTATCTTTCCATTCTATTTCCCACAAATTGAATCTGTGATGAAACCTATGGTCAAAGTCTCTCAGCATTTTTTATATATGGCAGAGATAGTCTCAATGTTACGCGATTATTGCTACGATCTATTTCCACCGTTCATTACTCCTACAATATCCATCTATTTCACGAATACTAAATATAAACAAGAACTAACATTGCCCCAATGAGATCCCTTTGCCGCTCTTCTGGATGGCTAATTGATTTGCGAGCAGCCATATCAATTAATGGTCGAACAGGATAGTGTTGCTGGACGAGCGAGTGCATATCACGGCCGAGTTGTGTTGCTTCCTCTGAAAAGCCAAGTTATAGATAATTCATTACACTTCTTAAATAAATTCATACCCTCAACAAGGCAAGTGAATACAGTGTTTTGCACTCCTTTACGCCTTCCAGATGGTAGTGAAATCCCATGCTTTGCTAGGTTGTCTCGCAATTCCTTTCCTACTTCTTTCGTTTTAGCCCTGAAAAAGGAAAATTATAAAATAGCTCAAAAAGTTAGCAAATATTCCCTCTAAGACAAAATAAAGGAAATCATTTTTAGTTTCTCCATTTGCACAGAACAACCGCGTATAACAGGAGATTCAGTGAACCGATAATTTTAATCCTGGAAAAAAAACAAAATAAACAAAATTAAAAGAAGATGCGGACAGTCTAAGGTAGATTCCGAGGAAGCTGCTATTGAGACATTCTGGAGCTGCGATTCGTCGTTTTAACTCAGCGAGGGTGACCTAAAATTGTTAAAAATTCTATTATTGAGAATTGAAAGTAACTTTAATACAATTTTACAGAAGAACTAGAGAACACTGATGTACTGAGCTAAACGGTATTTAAAATTCAAAAAATTTCGATTATCGAATAGCGCAGACAACGGCTCCAAATTTTATTAATAAAAGAAAAAAGAATTAAAAATTGCCAAATTGAGCTAGTGTTTTGAATTTACTCTCATCATATTATGTCCGGCAGTATAGCCTTTCCCTCTTGTAAAAATTACTTTGAGATAGATCACAGTCAAGTTAAATAGCACAAAGTCACAGATTTTCCGGAGCCAGAGGAAATAGATAAATACGCCGTGAGACCTTTCATTATCTGACTTGACCAAATCTCTGATTTTTCTTC